GGAAGTAAAGTGAGCCTTTATACAAACGTAAAAACATAAAACAACAGAGATTCCAGGCAGGTTTTTCAGTATAAAAATATTTCTGCAATGATCAAGCTCCCATGTCAATGTGAATGTTAAATATAATAATAATAAATAATTTGTTTAAAGTTGGCGTACTAAATGAACGGTTGATAGCTATAAAGAAGCTAATTAAGGCCAACTATCTAATAAGAGTTAGTATGAAATAAAAATATACGATACAATATTAAAAAGGTTTAAGGTATAATGTTCTAAATAAAACCTAACCCAGCAATAAATTTTTTACACAATCTACAGTCGCATTCTATAGGGTGTGCTCTTAATTCTTTTTTAAATGTTGCCAATGATTGGGACTCTCTTATACTGTGAGGTAGTGTTTGCCACAGTTTTTGACCTAAATATCTCACAGTTTCTATACCATAAGAAGTTGTCCTGGCTTTTGGAATGCAAAGATTATTTTTAGTTCGCAAATCATAATGTACATTTCTTGTTTCAAAAATCTCACTCATGAAACTAGGGTTCAGGTTATGTTTGGTTTTGTATATTTCTATCACCAAGTACTGTAGATTGCGTTGGTGAATTGATACTGCATTATCCAAAGTCAGCAATGCTTCGTAGTCAGCATGACTGTCTTTATAAACAATTCTGAGTGCTCTTTCGTGGATTTTATTTACTTTAGCATTCAGACATCTGTCATGGAACATCCAAATTAGGGGGCAGTAACTAAACTGAGCTTTTATGAAGCTGTTCATTAGGAGACGCAGTTTATCAGAACCCATAAATGGCGAAACTCTAGCAAGAGCATGCAGTTTTTGGCTGGCTCTTTTGCATAAATTTGAGACGTGACTTTTGAAATTAAGATTTTTATCTATTATCACCCCTAGCAGTTTTTCTTCAGAGCTTTCTTCAACAATGGCCTCACCGATTTTGATCTTAAAGTCATCTTGATTTGTTCCAAAAGTAAGAAGATGACATTTCCCTGCATTCAATTTCATAAAGTTTTCTGGAAACCATTTTGATAAAATAAGAGCATCAGTTTCTAGCCGTTCTAAAACTTTATCTAATTGACAGTCAGCTGCAAAAATCGTAGTATCATCAGCAAAGTTACATACTGCAGTATCAGTTACCATTAAGAATAAATCATTAATATATAAATTAAATAGAAGAGGCCCAAGGACTGATCCTTGTGGTACACCTGCAAAGGTTACTCGCCAAGTGCTGGATGAACCATTTAATTTTACCCTTTGTCTTCTACCGGACAGGTAATTATAAATCAATAATTGAGCATCTTTACAAAAACCATAGGCATTTAATTTCGCAATTAATAGCTCATGGTCTATGCAATCAAACGCTTTTGAGAGATCCATTAGCAAGGCACCAACCACCCCTTTTTATCTAGGGAATTCTTGCAGATATCCATTAATCTCAACAGCGCATGCTGTGTGTTGAAACCTTTCCGAAAACCACATAAGTAGGAAACTAGGAACGTATCCGCGAAGTCGACCATCTGAGCATATAGAAGCCGTTCAAAGACCTTTGATAATGCGGATAGAACGGTGATAGGTCGATAGTTTCGTTTTTCTGTAGTTTTGTCACTTTTGAATAGTGGAGTTATGTCTCCTAATTTAAGATCTTCAGGAAACGTTTTCTGGAGCAATGAATTATTGAAAATTGTCGTCAGTAATGGTGCAAAAATGTCTTCGTTTTCTTTCAGTATCCGCGGAGGAATACTTTCAATTGTAGACGCTTTTTTTGTATTTAGTCTCAATAATTCATCATTGACTGCCTGCATTGTAATTGGTTTGAATTCGAAGAATGTGCCATGGTTTACCTTATCCTTAATCTTGCGGATGCTAGGATGATGTTTATATTTTTAAACAACAATTTCAACAGGATCCAGCAAATGGTCTGTCGAATTGAGAATGCATTCACCAGGGGCAATGTCAATTGTCTTTGTGATATTTGTAAAAAATTCATTAAGGATCTCAGCTATTTCACTGTCATTCGTAATAAACTTTTCATTTTCGATAAGCGTATAAACTCCGACCGCTTCATCAGTACATTACTGTTTTTAATACATGTTGGTATTAAAATAATAGAAGTTTCTTTCATGGTGTTGGTGACTATAATGCTTGAAAGATAATAGTTATGTGAACAAAACCTGAAGTTATGAGTCGAATACCTCAATGGAAAACATTTCTTCAAGGCAAGCACCTGCCAAAATGCTTACAGAAAATCCTCTGTCCCATAGGTTCGGCCCCCTTAGATTCGGGCATCTGATATTTTAGGGCAAAATTCGGGCTGTAGACCTTTCCAAAAACAAAAAGGATAAGAAAAACTACATTTTGAGTATGCTTAAAAATCTCTGAGGTGAAAACGTCAAGTGGTCGTAATTGTGAGCGGGATATGGTGAAAATCTACTGGGTGAAAAAATACGAAAAAATGACAAGAACAGCAACAGCCTAATTTTTGCACTGTATGGTGTCCAAAAGGATGTTTTTGCTAAATTTTTGTCTTCAGCAATTATACAAATCGGGCTCAAAAGCATATGTTGAAACTTGTTGGCAAATGCTTTGACAGTCCAAAATGAGCGGCGAGCTTGGCAAGCGAATAGAGGACTGTTCTCCGCTGAGCATCTATGTCCACTGCCTTTGCCGTTAGTTGACTCTTGCAGAAAGCTAGTCAATAAGAAATGGTCTTATTGTTGTTCAAGGTCACTTCAATTTCATTTAGGCCAACACCAAAAGACATGTATTTTCAAGAGAAAAGTTGAAGATGAACCGTCATATAGCTAATAGGGACAAACCGCAACGCATTGTGCTTGCCAAGGGGGAAGGCAGTGGCCAGGACACTTATTTTCTTTGCAAGGATAAGGACCCCAAAACCCATCTAGAAAGCAAAGCTCTGTTCAATTGTTTCTACAATGTAATAGATAAAGTTTTGGAAGAAATCTATGCGCAATTTAGTTATAGTTACTATCGCATTTTATGTGCTTAGGCGTAACAGAGGCCCCTGGGCCCTAAGCAAAATACCGCTATGAGACTTCTATTCACAGACAGCAAAAAGATCACATTAAATGGTGTAGAGCATGTCAAACACAACAGAAAAAGAAAAAATGAGAATTAATTTCTCGTTAGCTAGTGAGAGCTGGGTTTTAGAGCTTCAGTTGAGGAACTTTCAAAGTTTTCTAAAGTTATTTTAGTATCAACAGTAAACTTTTTTTGTTTTTTCAAGTACAGCTCTGTTTAACCCCAAACTGGAATCTCTCTGTTTTCTACGTACGCTGCGATCTTTATGGTACATACATATATACATACGCACATACATACATACATACATACATACATACATACATACATACATACATACATACAGAATTTTATGTGATATGCAGGTTTGCTAATAGGCAGCATGTAGCTGATATGAAGCATTTCTCAAGGGTCAAAGATCAATCTTTCGCAGGAATCTGTCCAATAAGCTTGATTTTTTGAAATACTTACTGATGCACTAGATGCAGTAAGAAATTTAACTTTAATGTTGGCTTTGAGAAGTACCCTTGGGACCTCTTATTTCCTATTTTAAATTTGTCTTCTGGTCGTGGAGCTGGTTGTTGCAAACTTTCTCTTTGTTTGTTTGTCATTTTATGAGCAAATTTATCATCAGAGCTTGATATTGATGACTTGCATGCATTATAAACAAAATTAACATGCTCTTTGGGTTATCTCTTTATTTGGGATAGTTGCTCTACCAATTGTCTATGCACCAGAAGAGGGGTTATTCTTATAGGCTTTGCTAAAATTTGATTTGCCATATTTTCTGCACTTGTTACCAGTAGCACTTCAGTCTCTGGGCTGGAAAATTCACAGATCAAGGATAATCTCCTTAAAAGTGTATGAAATGTATCAATGCTTTCATCTTTAAATTGTCTTGCCTATCATTGAAAGACTGAGAAGAAACCTTCATTCTAAGCTTTACGTTTCAGACAGCCGTAGGCATTTAGTTTATCAGCTGCAAATGCAAAATCTTAAGCCTACAAGCTCCAGGAAGAGCTTTGAAAATACGACAGACACTGTCATTCGCACATTGAATAAGCATCACTGTCTTCCCTGTATCACCACAAATATTTGTTGCAATTAGATAATAGGTAAAGGAATCCATGTATTTTTCTATCTAAGGCTTTGGCTATATTGATCAACGTTCACACCAAGTGGTGGTGACCTTAAAATTGCCAAACGCCCCAGAAACTATGATCCTCGTTGCTAGATGTATTATTTTGCTTGTCTTGTGCTTTTACCGCCATATTCTCTTCTCTACATGTCCTAAGGACAAAGCAGATTACAACGATTATGTAACTGCTCTGCAGTCATCCTGTATGCATGCCAAATCAAGTTTTGATTTTTGACTTCGAAAAGAGCTCTAATTTCACCGCTGCGAAATATTTCCCAATAGGCGCCTAAAAATGTTTAGTTTTGGGGAAAATCACAGTATAAGTTCGCAGAAAAATCACAATATAATTTCCTGGAAATCATAAAGGGACTGGAGACAGACGATTGTTAAATGACAATGTTAAATGTTTGAGGCAAAGTCGGAATGCTTCCAAAGCTGTCAACATGATAGCATTAAAAAGCATGGTTCTGGGGGAGCCGCAAATCATTTAGTAGTTAAGGGTCCTTTTTGGTTCTTCGTAGGGTCATAGGGGTCCTAGGGTCTTAGGGGTCCTAGGGTCATAGGGGTCCTAGGGTCATAGGGGTCCTAGGGTCATAGGGGTCCTAGGGTCATAGGGGTCCTAGGGTCATAGGGGTCCTAGGGTCATAGGGTCTGGTTTTTCCAGTATGCCAAATCAAGTGACTTTTGTCAGCTGCATTATTATGTGTGTATGCAATTAGAAACTATTTAATTTGCATGTCTTTTACTTTCAAAAAAAAGATAACAAGGTTTTTGTTAATAATAAATTTTTTTCAAAGCCGCTTTTGTTTCAGGTTATTGCAGCTTATATCATGGTATTTTGAGATGAAGTCACAACTTGAATTTTACGTCAACGGTTAGTAGCCTCTTGTTGATTCTTTAGAAGAATTTGCAGTCTTTATCCCTGGAAAGAAGTCGTTGCAGACAGTTTCTGTATCATCTGTGGAGCTGGCCATTTTCGTCTCTATACGTATTGCTTTGAGATGAAGTCCCACACAACTGAATGCAATTTACGTAAATGATAAATAATAGGGACTGATATGATAAATTGCCAAAATCAAAGCAAAGCAAAGCAGTTAAGCAAACTTTGTGCAAATATTTCAGGGGCGTTATGTTAGTGAAAATGTTTTGTATACAAGAGGCAATAGAGAGAAAGGGGTTGTTCAGTGACTTCAGACATCTTGAAACTTTAAATAGCTTTTTGTTTAGTTATACCCTCGATTAATAAAAACTTTCATTTGATTGGTCAGAACTTTTACATCTAAATGCTTTTTAAACCTGGAATGTTCAAAATAATTACTTTCGATTTTTTCTTTCATCTTGATTCCGAGCATATATGATAAAAGAACATGTGGGTAATGTTGAGAGAAAATCTTTTATCGCCGCATAATTGCAAAATAAGGTCTTGGTACCAAAAAAAAATTGCGCGAACGATCTCTCTAATCTCGTTTCATTAAGTTTTCATCAAATAATCAGTAACAAACTTGTTCAATGTCTCCTGTAGCACCTCTTCAATCATTGTGGGAATTATGTCTAATCCAAAAATATAATAGAAATAGAGTATCCATATGCTAATGTTTTATTTACTATTCATATCGCATTTGTTAAAAAAAGTTGCCAGAAGATTTTAATACGCATCAGGCCTGGTCATTAGTTATTTTCAGGTGAGCTATTCATAGATAAATATGAATAGAAACAAACGAAATTTTGATTTCAATTAGAACAATTTATCTTCTATAGCGATTTAGAAAAGCTATCTGTAGCACTCCTCTAGCATTTAAGGAGAGGCTGGAGGGGAGCAAGCTATGGCTCTCGTCAAATGGCCAGGCCTGCACATGCTTTAAAACTATTTACGACGCAAACAGCTTGAGCTTCTTCAAAACGATTGTAACATTAATCCAAGTTATATAGCATTGCGCCTTTTCTAACAGGGCAGAAAGTTGTGGAGAAAGATCCTGATCCGGAATGGACTCTGTTGTTCTATTTACGAGAAAAACTGAGCTTATGTGGAACAAAACTGGGATGTGGGGAGGGTGGTTGTGGTGCTTGCACTGTGATGGTGTCAATGTACGAGAAGGAGACGAAGACGATTAAGCACATGTCGGTGAACGCTTGCCTTGCTCCTGTTTGTGCGATGCATGGCCTAGCTGTTACTACAGTTGAAGGCATCGGTAGCACGAAAACAAAACTTCATGCAATACAAGAAAGAATGTCGAAGATGCATGCCTCACAGTGTGGATTTTGTACGCCAGGTGAGTAGCACTATATGGACTCACTCATGCAATTATTGAGAAAGGTTGAACAAGATTTTTCTACTTGAAATTTTTTCACTTCTCTGGGAAGAAATGTGTTGACAACATTAGACCTCACTCAATTTTATGGATTGTTATAAAAGTTATAGAAATCATAAAGTTATCGCTCAATTGACTCCCATTAGTGCATGACGTCATCTAAAAGTTAAAACAATTTTGTGCAAATGGCGTTGAAGTCTCCTGCTCCTGAACGCGTTCTGCTTGACTTTGAAGATTTTGTCATTCTTTGTTCCAATCATGAGAATCCTATTTCTTCAGATAATTAATTTCATCTCTTCCAAACTATCATGTTAGGGATCACGGCCATTTGTTATGCCTAACCCGCTGTTACTACCTTTTCTCTCTCCAATAGACCTTGCCCCTAATTACGTCGTGACGAAACGAATTCTGGTACTTGTAGTTAAACCCGTGAACATTTGTTTATGTTTCGTACGGCGAACGGACGAAGTTCTGTTATGATCCAACGCTCTTTGCTCGAATAATCAAACAAGTCATGAAAAATACGGTAGAATATACCGAGCAGCACATCTCAAGGTTTTCATAAAGCTCTTTCTTGGAAATCAGCGCTGTAGAAAATCATTCCGACGGCAATTTGACAGCGAGCAATGATATGCGGAAAAGTGAAAAATATAGGACCAAGGGGATATTAACCTCCGACAACCAACCCTTACAATGTTTTGAAATCTGAAGTCATCAAACGAACCTCAGCCTCAGAACAAAAGGATCTTGATCAACTGCTGATTTCGGAAGATCTGGGAGACCGAAAACCTTCTCAACTCCTCCGAAAAATGCGTCAGTTGCTTGGTGATAACAACCTGGAAAGCGGCATTTTAAAGTGACTTTTCCTGCAACAGTTGCTACGAAGTATCCAAATTATTTTGGCATCAACCCCTGACACCGGCCATTTCGACGAGCTTGCCCCCCTAGCAGACAAAATTCTTGAAGTTGCTCCTCCACAGCCATTCGTCTCAAGCATCTCGCCATCCAGCTGACTTCCCCGTATCAAAGTAAATCCACGACCTCCGCAACCAAGTCAACAGCCTGACAACTCAACTGGCTGCACTTGTCAATCAAGGTCGACTCCAGCCAGGTTCTCGCACATGCTTCACATGGTACCAAAGCCGATCTCTTCATGGACAAACAATTTTCTCTAAAATCGACCTTGTTAAAGCCTACCATCAGATTCCAGTACATCCCTTTGACATTCCAAAAACTGACATTTCAACGACATTTGGTTTATTTGAAATCAACCGTATGCCTTTTGGTCTTCGGAACGCTGCTTTAACATGCCAACGCTTCATCGATGAAGTCCTCCGAGGCCTTCATTTTGTATATGCTCACATCGACGACTTCCTTGGACACCAGGTTTCAGCAGATGGAATTTCTCTGCTTCCTACCAAAGTCCAAGCCATCCAGGATTATCAGCCACCAACTTCAACGCGCAAACTCAGAAAATTTTTAGGTTTAATCAATAGACCACTTTTGCAATGACGTCAAATGGTTTTTTAAACGAGGTGTGAAATTGAAAACGAGAATACCGATGTTCCAGTTGCCTTGGCATTTTCGCACAACTATCAAAACACCGATCTTGTTTGGAAAATTAGAAGCGTTTGTTTGATTAAACTTGATCAGTTAAGATCTTGAAATGGAAGAGTTTCAATCGTTGCTTCCTGAAGGAAAAGTTGTCGAGTGCTTGGAAGATTTGGGGTCATTAACAGTAGCGGAATTAAAGAGCATTTTGAAGCGCTACAAGGAGAAACCATCCGGTGTTAAGGCCGATCTTGTTCTTCGCACGTTTGCCGTATTTTGCCGTGCAAAAACATTTAGTGTGCATTCGAAAGATGTCTTAGATGAATCCTCTCTCCTTTGCCATGAGAAAGAATACACGTACGAACCATTCCATCAGCAATGTCAGCATCTCCCATGGACATCTGACCTATGTGGAACACCGGCATTTAATTTTCTGCAGTTATAAGTTATAAATTATTTGGTTATAAGAACGTCCAAGTTCAAGCACATTATTTTGAAAAGTACATCATACAAGAAGCTGACAGCTTTCCAGTTCTTTTATGAAGGGTTTATAAAGAATATTGACGTTGCAACAGATAACAACTTTTCTTATTTTGATGTCAGAGTCAAAGCTTCAATGAAGAAATGTTTATGCAAAGTAATTTTAAAATTGTCAATCAATTCTGGTGATGTTTGCTCTGCTGCATGTACTTGTCCTGCTGCTATTGGTCTTGGTGGTTTTGGCAACTGCAACCATGCTGGGGGTGTTCTCTTTGCTCTTGAAGACTTCAACAGATGTGGATTACGAGAGTATCCATCTGCTGTATCATGCACTTCAAAGCTGTCTTCTTGGAATGTTCCAAATGCAACTGCTCTTAAATCCATCAATCCCTCTCCAATAGATGAAGTGGTAATACAAAAAAAATCAAGTTTGGAAAGGACAATGATAAAAGTAATTTGTCTCACTATAAATCCTTTGATCCACGTGCTCCATCTGATAAAGCTATTGATGATAAAAGACTTGAAGCCCTTAAAATGAAATTGGCAGAAGCTTTACCAAACAGTGGTTTTTTGGCTTTCATGAAATTCCTGAACCTGCAGATTCTGACACACTTGCTTTAACTGAAGCCGCTGCATCCAGTCCTGAGCGTCCTTTCTTCTATAAATCCATCTCCTTCAATGAATATTACGATATTTCAACTTCCTCCTTCAAAGAAATGATGGACATTTATTGCCAAAACACAACATTGTCCCAAGAAGAAATTTCCAATATTGAAAAAACAACACATGGCCAAGCTTCAAATGATTATTGGAAAAAACATCGTATGTATCGAATCACTGCACCCAATTTTTACTCTGCTGCTGTAAACTCTGTTGAACCTTCTTCCCAGCTTAACTCTATGTTTTATAAATCTTTCACATCAGCTGCAACTTGCCATGGCCAGAAACACGAAGCACATGTTAAAGAGCTTTATATAATGTTACTGAAAGATAAAGGTATCAATGCTCAAGTTTCTGATGTTGGTCTGCAATTGTCTTCCTCATTTCCTTATCTTGGTGCTTCATTAGATGGTGTAGTCACTTACAAAAATGAAACATGGGGGTTGGAAATCAAATGCCCTTTTTCAAAGTACAACATGTCTCTTCAAGAAGTTGAAGATGGTGGTAATTTTAAGCTGAAGTGCAAGCATGCATACTTCTACCAAGGCCAAATGTTTTGTGCAAACTTAAAGAGAGTTGATTCTGTAGTTTGGTTTGGAACTGGGAGGCCATTGTTTGTTGAAACCATTTGCTTTGATGAAGAATTTATGGTCAATTATGTTTTTCTAACACTGAAGTATTTTTTTTGTAGAGCAGTTCTCCCTGAGTTTTTCACAAAACGTGTTAAACAGGGATTTAAATTGTATTTGTATGGTGGCTGGGAGAATTTTGATAAAAAGCATATTTTATGAAGTGATAATATATCTTAAGTAAGAATTAATAGACCAGTATGTATTATTTAAAAAAAGATAAGTATTTGTAGAAGTATTTAATATCACCTCTACTACTGAGCTAGCCATCACAAAACATTCTTAATTTTATAAGTTTTATAGTTTTAAAAACTTGACAGGACACACAAAGCCATTTTTGCATTGTACAATATGATTGTTTTAGATATCTTTGCACAGACAGTTGTTAAAGGTTGAAAATATGTTTATCTACACTGTATAACATCATAGTTAATATACTTTCAGCTAATATGTATTTATGACTTAATTGGGGATACTATGATTTGAACAATCAACTAGATACTCAAGCATTTTAGACAACTATTTTGATAAAATATGATATTTCGAACATATTTGTATACACAGCTACATAATGTTTGCATTAAGCATGTAGCAACTTAGAGCCATCCTGTTTTATAGACCCAAAACGTGTACAGCTCTGCCCATACAACATCTAGCACTATATGACAGACCAGTAAACAGAAATTTTCATTACATACAACTATGTGTATACTATATATATGTAATCATAAAAGGCTGACAGGAGGAAAATTATTACCACAAGGGTGCTGCCCAATTGTATCGAGCCACTCATGGTTGGAATCGAACTCCAGTTTGCTGCTTCAAAAACCAGCGCTCATTCCACTGAGCCATACATTTTTTCAATCAAAACTTTCAAAATGATGACAGCCTTGTTGATTAGAGGTAGTAAAGAATGGAAAGGCTTTTTATTATTCTTGGCGTTCCGTGGCTATGGCTTTAGATTTCGAATATTACGTCATCAGCCCTACTAAAAATTTACCCCACGAGCCGCCACTGCTTCAACACCATCAAGTCAGCACTTGCCAGAGCCACATTGCTCAACCACCCGTCTTCTAAAGCACCATATTGCCTCATGGTAGATGCTTCTAACGTTGCAGTCGTGGGTGTTACGCACCATATTGCCTTATGGTAAATGCGACCCAATCTCATCCTTTCCAAAAGCCTTCAACCAGCTGTAGTCAAATACAGCAACTTTGGCCGCGTTTTGTTTATTTTACCTACAGGAATTTCATTACATCACTACCTCATAACTACACTATACGAACATATCACTTTGTCAACATTTCCTTTTTTTTGTTTAGGCCCCCATTAATCTTACACATCTACCTACACACAAATTCATAAACTATCCACACTCGGCCTAGCCCTTCCTTTCCCTCGCCACCTTATTTGTTTTACATAATCACATATCGTATATATATATGCTTTTCCAATAGATTTTTAGTTAGCTAGTTTTCATTTCGCCGAAGAAAAGACGAACAAAAACACAGCGTATTTGTTTTCATTGTGTTGATGGCCTGAGACAGCTCAAACCAAAGTAAAAAGATAAAGATAAAGATTGGGGAGATCGTATTATTACAATCATTTTATTAATAGTTTTATACTTTCATGAACAATCACAAATCTAGCTATCAAACGTTTCCTTTTCAGGAATTGTGATGTCCATGTACACTCTTCTGCGGAATAAACCAATACCATGTATGGCTGATGTTGAGGAGTATTTCAAGGGGAATCTCTGTCGTTGCACTGGCTACCGACCGATTCTCGAGGCGATGAAAACCTTTTGCATCCCAGACACAGAAACGAGGCCAGATCGAAATGGACAAAGTGAAGGCGGAGAAAACAGCATGGTAAACGATATGACAGAATTCACGAGTGGTTTCACTGATAACAATAAAGATGCAAATAGCGAAGTTAGCAATTCTTCGCAGAAGCAATCGACAAACGCTGGGATTGATCACATAAAAGAAGCGCAATTGGCAGCAATTGAAAATAGCAAAGTGCAGATGAATGAGTCTCCTGATATGGATGACAACAGAAACATTTCCTGTGGAGCAGGTGAGAATTGTTGCAAAAGATCGACAGCTCCTGACAAATGTACCGGCATTAAATTGAAGGAATCTATTAAACTACCTGATGCCACTTCTCTCAAATTTATTCCATACGACCCAAGTCAAGAGCCAATATACCCACCCAGTCTGCTCCTTTCCAATGGAATAAAATCAGAGAGTTTGGTTTTCCAGGGTGAAAGAGTCACCTGGTACAGACCAACAACTCTAAATGAACTATTGTCATTGAAGGAGCAGTTTCCATACGCAAAGATCGTTGTTGGCAATACTGAAGTAGGACTTGAGACCAAGTTCAAGCACCTTGAATATCCTGTTTTGATACACCCAAGTCACATTAAAGAGTTGAAAGAAATATCTATCCTGGAAAATGGTGTGACATTTGGGGCCTCAGTGACTCTTGATGAAATGGAAACTGTCTGTCGAAGAATGATCGAAAAACTACCGGCCTACAAAACCAGAGTGCTCAGTGCTTTTGTCGAAATGATGCAATGGTTTGCAGGAAAACAAATACGATACGTCGCAGCAGTAGGTGGAAATATCATGACTGGCAGCCCAATATCTGACCTAATTCCTATTTTTATGGCCTCTAAATGCAGACTTGATGTAGCATGCAAGAATGAAAAAAGGTCGCTGGAAATGAATGAAAAGTTTTACGTTGGCTATCGAAAGACGTGCCTCAAACCAGAAGAAGTATTAGTATCCATCACTCTACCATTCACTGAAACCAACGAATATTTTCAAGCTTATAAACAAGCAAAAAGACGCGATGATGATATTGCAATTGTAAATGCAGCTTTCAGAATGGTAGTGGAAGGAGCTTTGGTTAAGGACGCTACATTCTGTTATGGGGGACTTGCACCTACTTCAAAATTGGCCCTTAAAACTATGGAGCTACTTCGAGGAAAACAATTAGGAGATGGAATTCTTGAGGCAACATTGCGGTCAATTTGTTCTGAGTTCAACTTGCCTCCAAATGCTCCAGGGGGTATGGTACGTTACAGAAGATCATTGGCAATGAGCTTATTCTTCAAGTTTTTCCTTCACGTTGCAGAAGAGATAAATGTTTCGACGTCTGGTCTACTGAAACATTGCTCAAGTGCAACAGAGAAGTTCCATAAAGGTGTAATCAACAGCCATCAGTTCTTCAAACTGTCTGATGGGGAGAAAAAGGTAGTCGGAAAGCCGATACCACACAAATCAGGTGATCTGCACACGACAGGAGAAGCCGTGTATGTAGACGATATGGCCAAAACCAAAGGCGAGCTTGAATTGGTGTTTGTCACAAGCACAAAACCCCACGCCAAGATACTGGACATAGACCCATCTAAAGCATTGCTTATTGATGGGGTTGTTGATTTTGTGAGCCATAAAGATTTACCACCAGAACGAAATTTAACTGGAATTCCTGATTTTTCAAATGATGAAGAATTGTTTGCATCCAACGTCGTGCACTGTGTTGGGCAAGTGATTGGTGCTGTTGTTGCAACTGACAAAAACATTGCAAGAAGGGCTGCAAACAAGGTAAAAGTTTCTTATGAAGAACTGCCTGCAATCGTGACAATAGAACAGGCAATTGCGGCTAATTCGTATTATGGTGACTTGATTGAGTTGAAGCGTGGAAACGTACAAGAGGGATTTGATAAATGCGACCACATCATAGAAGGGACAATGAGGACTGGGGCGCAGGAACATTTTTATCTTGAGACACAAGCATGCATTGCATTTCCTTTGAATGAGAATGACGAAATCATAATTTATTCTTCAACCCAGTCCCCGTCTGATACGCAGAAAGTCGTTGCGAAGGCGCTTGGTTTGGATCACAACCGCATCGTTTGCAAGACCAAAAGACTCGGAGGTGGTTTCGGTGGCAAGGAGACAAAGGCACCTATCATAGCTGCTGCTGTTGCTGTTGTTGCTTGTAAGGTGAGACTTTTCTATCAATCTTTCTTTGATGCTTTAGGAATCAGACACCGAGAAGCTCATTATTTCATCCCAGCCATAGTAATTAGACTTTTGAGTAAAATCCCATTAAGAACTACTCTTTCAAAAAATGAGAATTTTTGTCACGTTTGTCACTTTCAAAAAAATGAGTGGCACGTCTTCCCTCGCTTGAAGCAAAGCAATTTCCCGATTTTTCTCTTTTCATTTTGCATTTTTGTCAGTACACATCAGGACTAGTCATGAAAAACTTAATTAACTGAATCAAGATATGACATGACAAAAAATGACCCTGGATCCATTTTGCGTGAATCTTAGATTCATTTGGTAGATAATTACTGAACAAGCAAACTAAGGGCTTGTTCATATAAGTAGTTGTCCTACTGAGGTGGGATGTCCCACTGAGTTGAGATCCAATCAATAAATTGATTTGTATGAAGAAATACGTTTACGTTCATGTGAGAGGTTGTATAAAAACTACCATGTGAACACGTTAAAGTGGGCCAGTTCGGTTAGGTGTGATGAATCTGTCAGTATTGTGCAAGCGCGTGTGGAGAGTTTGGTCAAGTTAGGCTATCTGATCCCACGAAACACATCGCAGAGATGTCTGTCGAAGAAAGAAGTGCCTACTTTAGTGTGAGAGAAGAGGAATCAGGAAAGATACAGAAAGCCCACCAGTGTGTACAAGAGAAGATAAAAAAGATTAGGCAAAACTATTCCAAAGCAGTCACAATGGGGACTCGTAGTGGCAGTGGTATGTCACAATGGGGACTTGTCTTTGAATTCTACAACAAGCTATGTGTGGTTTGGGGTAGGTCTCCAGAACCTTTGCATTTTGGGATTGAAACTATAAGTTTCCTCATGGTTTACAGCAATGATGAATCACAAGCTGATCTTACTGAAAATGTAAGTAGTATATTGATGACCAAGAATTGGGTGATGAAAACAGTATTGAAGACAATACGCCTTTTACTCGAAAAAATAACTTGTACCACAAATATAGTGCCATCTCCCTTTTAGAAAAAGAGAAAACATCTAGAAAAAAAATTATCTGCAGCTCAGAGAGATAAACTGATGTTGAATGAGGCTAAGAAGGAAAAAAATTAAGAGAAGACCTTGCCAGTGTCATTCTCTGCTGTCTCATACCCTTGCAGTACAGAATCAGCCTCTTCTGCCTGTGAATCAGAATTTATTTTATCTACCACAGTAGCCAGGCAGTCAAATTTTCTATGGGATTAATGACTGGAAATGACCTCAGAAGACGACAAATGAAAAAGAGACACAAATTTGATTAAATACATGTGTAAATATAAATATTACTATTTGGTGCCTAATAGACTCCCCCTGCTAATTCAATTCTCATAACTTTCCCTGCAGGACATTTTCATTTCAATTCCCTTTGCCTATTAATTTCTAAGTAAGCTGCCACCCAAGATATGTTTCAAGGGAGGTAAAACAAATTAGAAATTCGAAGAATTTCAAAAAAATGAAAAAAAAATTAAACAAATTTAGAAAAATGAGAAAAATACCAAAAATATGAGAAGATATAGAATGTAAAAAAATTAAAATCTTAAAAAAAGATAACAAAAATGAAAAAATAAGAAAAATTTTTATTTTCGTTATATTTGGATTGCAAGTAAAACCTGTAAATAAAAAGTAATCATGCTAAGCTGTTGTATTGTTTAATACTGTTTAGTATTATTTCAAAAAAAAGTTCATTTATGTTTGGAAATTTTGCAACCCCCCTTTTATTCCAACCCTCATTTAATTACAACCCTCCATTTATAAGTTTTTGTGCTTTTTAAATACCCCATTTATTCCAACCCCCATTTCTATTAAGCACCACAGAATATGATTATTGACATGCATCTGGAAGACATAAACTGTATTTTGTCAAGGTTTCTCTATTGTCTTTACCTTTACTACTTTGGGAGGGATAAACTGGGTCTGGGCTCAATTCATTTGTCTTCTCGTTTGTCTGTGCTATGTCAACCTGACTTTGCCCAAGCTTAGCATCAATGTACACTCTTTCATTCTCACATTAGTTATGCAAGACACAACATGCATAAACAAGAGTTTGGAAAAAATCAAACTTCACATCAATTTTTCTTGTCAGAATTGACAAGCGTACCTTTAGTTTGCCAAATTTACATTCAATTGGATTTCTGGCTGATCTTAGGATAAGATTGAACACAACTTGTGCATTTCCCATGTGAACGTAACCTTGTTGAAAGAGTAAACTTAGAGGTGACTCTTGCAATATCGTTATTCGCAAGATTTATATTGCCAGTATTTTCGCTTTTTTACCATCATAAGCATATCTCATTACCTGCTAACAAATTCACTGTAATATTTATAAATCTCTTCTTTTGCCAGATTGGTAAACCAGTGCGAATCATGCTTGACAGAAACGAGGATATGATCATGACGGGGGGTCGCCATCCATTTTTGGCCAAATACAAAGTTGGTTTTAATAATGATGGACGAATCGTAGCAGCAAACACAGATCTGTATTCAAATGCTGGCTGGAGCATCGATTTGTCTTTAGCTGTCCTTGAACAGGCAATATTCCAGTGCGATAATTCTTATTTTGCACCATATTGGAGGTCTTCTGGACGCTGTTGCAAGACAAATCTCGCGTCAAATACTGCATTCCGTGGATTCGGGGCTAAACAAGGTACGTAAACACCACATTTTATGATTACGAAGAAGGTTCTTGCTACCTCTGCGTACATGTAAGCTTATTTTGAGGAAATATATTCGCAGGTTGGCCTCGATAGCACTAATCTCGATCTCAAGATGAAAGACCAAGCCATCTGCACCTTTGTGAGGTTCACAGGGCAATAAATTCACCCACAAAGTCAAAAGAAAAACCAGTTTTTGACATTCGCCAAAGCAATAGCATCGACTTTCTTATAGTCTATTTATTTCTGCTGCACTTCATGCTGCTTTTTATAAGCTTCATGATCAAAAGCTATTTAACCAACAGTTAAGAGTGCATGCTCAAGACTCTACAGCCTGTCTGATTTTTTGAAGATTTTGAGAGGGCCTTGAGCCAATGTACGAAGTGAAAGATATACTCATTTGTTCAAAAATGTTCAAGATATTACTTATAGATTTGTCTATGTGTGGGTCAATATTTGCGTCAACAGAGTATCATTTGCCTGCCTGTTTGCACTTTAGCATCATAGTAAATCTTCAGAAGTTTCGTCGTCGGACTATAAGGCTCCATGTCTCACTATGCTATTTCAGAACGACAACATAGACAGCATCCTGTTCAAAGAAAAGGCTTGTTTTGCTTCCAGGTCTTCGGGGTCGATTGTTCAAATTTGTAACATAAGAAATTATTATAAGAAAGAGTATCAAATTATTCCATAGTGTTTAAGAAAGAATTTAACAGGACCGCTAATTATCTAGCAGAATATGATTTAAAATATACATTCTAATGTGAAAGTGTTTATAAGTGTTAGTTAGTGGACATGGATAATTAGTGTTATTCTAATGAGTGTAGTTTTGGGCGATGTTTTAGTTATATCTTGTCAAAAAAACTTATTTTTGTGAAGAAAAAAAAGAAGAAGAAGAAGTTTGCAAAATATTTCTGTTTTCAACAGGGATGATGATGGCTGAAACATGGATTAATGACATTGCAACATTTTGGAGAGAGACCCGGCAGAAATCAGAGAGAAGAACATGTACCAAGGTGGAGAGTTGACCCACTATAACCAGGTTATGGAACCTGGGGTCAGAAGATGCTGGGACAAATGCATTGAGAAGAGTAATTATTACAAACGCAGACAAGAGGTGGAAATATTTAACGATGGAAGCAGATGGAAAAAGCGTGGCATTGCCATTGTCCCTTCCACATATGGCGTGGGATTTAATTTTGCATTTATGAATCAGGGAGGTAAAATACGTTAAGCCTTTTCTATAAAAACATTTCACGTTTCACCTCAAGAGTAGTTGCTGTTTTTCATCATTTCATCATTTTCAATAAATCAACATATCATCAAATGATATAGATGTCAATTACTTTTGATACACCACAAGTTAAACATCATACAAATTTCAAAATCCAGCTTTTACTTCAATGTTCAAATTACTATGTAGGTGCCCTTGTGCAGATATACTTTGATGGAAGCGTACTGGTTTCACACGGAGGAGTCGAAATGGGTCAGGGGTTGCATACGAAGTTGATTCAAGTGGCAAGCACTGTCCTCGAGATCCCTCACAACAATATTTTCATTTCACACACTGCAACAGACAAGGTCCCTAACACAACTTCGACCTCTGGAAGCATAAGCTCAGATTTGCACGGAATGGCGGTAATGGACGCTTGTCAGAAACTGCTAAAGCGTTTAGAACCGTACCGACAGGAAGAGAAAGCATGGAAAGACATTGTGAAGACGGCCTACTACGACAGAGTGAGCTTGTCAGCGACTGGTTACTACAAAACGCCAGACATTGGGTACGACATCAAGACGAACATTGGACGAGCGTTTAATTATTACACCTTTGGAGCTGGATGCTCTGTTGTGGAAGTCGATTGCTTGACAGGTTTGAATTTTCTGTTTTTTTGTTTCATAGAATTTAGCAATTGTAAACAATGGGTCATAGCATTCCGCTGCTGCCAGATGATGCTTATTGGGAAGCATTCACAAGCAGGCAAGCACCCCTAGTTTGCTAAAAAACATTTTTCGTTTTTGAAAATAGGAGTTTCTTTAAAATGACTAACTTACGCCGAAGCTCTCTGACTGAGGAAAATCTATTCCACACCTTAGCCCTTAGTCTGGCAGGTGAAATGAATCGAGTGTTTAGATTCAGACTCTATCCCACCTTTCAGCTGAATATGGAGAAAATCTTCCAACCCTTCTGCCTGCTTGCTGACAAGCGAGAGGAAATTTGATCGCGTTTTTATGAACATTTCCTCCGTTCATCCTGCTTCATCCCACCTTCTTGCGTTAATATGGAAAAAAATTCATCCCACCCCAGTAAGATCCCCCTCTCATGCAGTGGGACCTTGCTAGCTTGTTTTCCATATAAAAGCAAGTTACTTCAGAACCTTATTTTTTGTGCTTACAGTTCATCACATGGTCTTCAAGAACCTCTTTTTAGTAAGATGATACCATTTATAATAGTACCCTTTTTCTTGTTATTGTCTTTTCTCTCCTTCAACATTATCCATTGTTGCTATTTTTTTCTTTTCACACGGCCTTGAAATTGCATTTCTCTTACATCACAAGTTCACTTCCAATATCTGTCTTTATCTATCTTTCTCCACTTGTGGTCCCGTCCATCAATGTTTTTTTAGAATAGCGAATTTCTGCAGCTTTCTGGCGTTCTCTCGTGGTTGGCTTGGTTAGTCATTTGTAAATCCAGTCTAGCACACACTCCATTTATCTTTTTGTACTGGTGGAATATAGACCATCTTTACTGATTATATCATAACTGATCCATGGAGCTGAGAAAATTTTTACTTATGTTTCATTAATGAAAATATATCTTTGCTTGCATGTTAGAATTTTCTAAATATGTAATAGATACAGCAGTACAAATATGGTCTGTGGACCTGTTAATGTGCAATTGTTTATCAAGTATGAACTAATAGAAATCTTCCATAAACTTTCGAATAGGTTTCCAGGTCAAATCTTTGTCGATTAGAACTCCAAGACTTGTTATATTTTTCCCAGTGAGTTTGTCTTCGTCAAAGAAAACGTTTATTTTAACGTTATAGGTTTTCCTTTTTGGACGTTATAAAATTACAATTTTTAGTAATGGTCAATCTGGAAAATAAGTCAATTTGCTTTTGAGAAAGGAATCTTAAATTTGGAGACCAAAGATATATGTTGACCTCTAACGACTTTTTAAGAAAACAAAACCTGCTTAGTTTAAAGATTCCAGTTCAATGCATAATTTTCTTGCATCAAATCAGATCTTTCTTAATTGCTCGTGCAAAGCATATTTCCAGTACAAAGCATATTTTACATTTCCTGTAAAAAGTTCAAAATTGCTAGCGTTGTCGAAATTTTCAACAGTCAAAGTGGATTGGAGTGATACTCTTCGTGTGGATACGATTGCTTATTAAGTTGAAGGTAGAATAACGCAAAGCCTGATCTGCAGGAGCAATTTCCTTAACAATTTTTAATTGACAAATGCTATTTGCTTGTGTAAACTGTTTCAAATTTGCATGCCTTTTACTGACAAATGTACTTGTACAAATCTTTGCATGCCAGTCTTTCACTAAGTTAGTTTTGACGGCGAAAACAAATTGATATCTGTGTCTGTCTCTTTTTTTCTTGAAGTTTGCTAGTTTCCCTTTGCATTTTTCCGATGAAGACATGCCTGTCGCTTAACCCTTTTTGGATCTTTATAGTTTCATTGCTAAATTGTGAGAAATGTATCTTTTTTCTTGTCGTTTAAAGGAGACCTGACACGCAAAAATAAGTTTGGCTAAAACGGTAGTTTGTGACAAGCAAATTCCTGGATCGAAAATTTTTTTCAAATCGCAGTTACCGTTTTTGAAATACAGGCGTTTTAAGTTGAGAAACGACAATTGTTCCGACAACTTGAAACTCGAGGCGAAAATCGTCACGAGTGGGCGATCATCTTTGACGTCACAAGTGACATGTTCTCAGCACGTATTGTGTTTCTCTATAGAAACCTTTAACAAAATGCTGCGGACAAATGTTTATTTTGTGCATGTGAAAGGAGCCAATTTTGCATTTTTGACACATAATTGACTTTTTCAATGGTTTGGGACTCTGAATCGGAGTTTTATTACACTGATTTCGAAACAAATGGAGAGTTTCAGCCGTCTGAGTTTTTGCTACCAACCAGCGCTGCCGCTTGGGCAGACAGTCGTCCCATGGCTCAACAGTGACGATATTATGAACAAAAACAGACTGGAAGTACAAACTGATATAGAATTTCTATTAAAAACAGTGCTATTGCTACAATCTAAATGAGATCAGGTATCGTAAAACTAGAATTTCATTTCAGATTGAGGCGTCTTTGTCCAGACTGCTTTGTCTGTATGGCCTAATTTGCTGAAATGCCTATGATGCCCTAAACGGAACTGCAAGTTATTAATTGTTAATGTAACATTCTATGATTGTTTTTCAATGTTTCAAACGCGTTAATTGTATAGTGATATTAAATAGTAAAGGCGGGTTGAAAGTCGCACTTGTGCGGATTATATGCCATTTTCACCGGGCGTGAAGGGTTTCGGGAACTGATAAGTTACCTGGCAGTCGAAAAATCTGGATTTACGAAATAGGCTCTTACCTCTTAGTCAAAGAACTTGATTTCTTAGTCGAAGAAAATGCTGTTTAGCTGTCATAGGAATATCAACTGGTGCATTATGTTCTTTTGCAAGCAATTTTGACTTGGGTGGGGGATGGTCTTTTTGCAAGACTAGGTTATTCCCTAGTATCTCAACCTCTGTTAAAATACAATAATCAAGTTCAGTGAAATTATTATTTAGTCACACTCACAGCTCCCATCAACCAAGGTTTTTTCTTGAATTCATATTTCTGCACCCAAAGCAGGTTGCAGGATCGCTTTTACCGCTGTCTCCACTAGATTTCGTTTGTCTTTTGGCTACTGCTTCGACCCCGTCCCCCACCCCCCATGTTGCGATTTTTTTGTAATTGTAAAAATAAAAACTTTGAAGAAACGGTATCAGTTTTCAAACAAAGTCGACTCCTTTTTTCACAAGCTTAGAGGTTCTTTCAATGTTTCAAAGCATGCTGGTTCGAAGATATCATGGCATGAAAATAAATTTTATGTGGATATAAGCATCTTAGCAGACATGTAGCTAGGATTTTCTAGCTTCTATATACTTATAAATGAAATGCCTGACAATTTTTTGTCTTTTCACCGCGGACTATTTTCAATAAAACACGAAACTTCACTTGTACTTTCACCGTTGCGGTGAAAGCCTTTACAACGGCATTGTTAACATGTCACTTGTGACGTCAACCGAGAATTTTAACAACTCCTGGCGATAATCTTGTTTCCGCTTCGGGAAATTCCCGAGTCCTGGCTGTGACGTATTTGACGGATAAAAGTGCAAATATCAGAAAAACGGCGAAGCTAAGAAGAAAACTTTTTCCAGATTTGAAGTCAGCGACAAATTTTGCATCGAATGAGCCAAAGTTATTTTTGCGTGTCAGTTCTCCTTTAACAAAGTTATTGCCTCATATCCTTGTGGCAAGAGAAAACGCACACTCCGATGAGTGAATCAGAACCAGCAGCGTAAAAAAGGTGTCAAAAATTTTTTTCTTTTCTACAGAAACAATGACGCTTTATACAAAGATAGTAAAAAAACATGTTAGGCAGGGCATTCCTCTCAACCATCGACCGCATTGCCTAACCTTTGTTTTCTCGGCTGATTATGGAACACTATGGTATAACGAATAATCTAAGCCCTTACAACATTTTCGTCTGACTTCAATATAAATGCTAGATTCGGGCTCGCCTGAAGAAGAGCTTTCCAATGATATATACATATTAGTATTTTAAGGATGTCAGCAATTTTCAATGATGACGTCATCACTTTCAAAATGGCCGTCGAACAGTACATTTTAAGACAAAAGCTCTGATCTAATCAAACGCATTTCTGGATCGTTTACTAATGTCTTCTTAATGTCTACAATAATTTTATAACTCCCACTCGTATAACCCCCCCCCCTCTTTGGAATAAGCCCCCATCCAAAAATATAAGAAATGAATAAGCCCCCAGGGGACTAATTCGAGGATTTACGGTATATATTCGCCTCATATCCATTTACCGCCCGAATCCTCCGACGAACTGAAGTCATAAACTTCCCGTTCATTCTCTAGTTCATCAGAATGTTCAGTGCTACTTAGGTCAGAGTCTACCTGGTCTGTTGTTACCTTGTATTCGTTACTAGCGTTGATTTCGTCGACACTACGGCCCTATTTCGGTACCTCTGTACATCTCTTGCATTTCTTCAGAGCAGGGAGGTTTTCATTGCAACTTTCGACATCTGCCCCAACACTTTCTGAAAATCGGCTCTTGTTTTTCCGTCTTGACTTCAAAGAAGGAGGCAGCAGGGGGCACGTGAAGCAAAAAGATTTCAAGGAAGACTCTTCAGAATACCCTTCCAGCCACAACTTTCGAAAAAAAGTCTTGACGGATAGTTCTACGCAACGCAACCAGCAGTAGGCTATCTTCTTGGAATGTGAATCAGGAAGTAGTTTAATGTTAGTTTGATTTTTTTGTACATTTTTAGTCTTGTTTCCACATAGCTTCTCTTGACCTTGCCAGAATACATTACCATTTGAACAAACTTGTGAAAATCTTCTATATCGCTATCACTAACCACTTTTTGTTCTCCAAGGCTGTCAAGCAGTTCAAGGTATCGCGGGCTCTTGATGACTGTCTTCAGCAACCTTACCTTTCCTACGTTGCGGAAATAGGATTTAGAATTACACCCAGATAAAGCATGTAAAGCCTGTAGATTAATGCAAACATCCCTTCCGAAATGGGAACCATTTGCGTTTTACATGGAGAAAAGCAAAAGCCCAATGTG